TGTTAAGGTTTCCAATGCAGGACAGGAGGAATCTCTTTTTAATATCTGCATGAGGAGCCACCCTGTTCCTCAGCATGTCAGCACAATAAGCCTCGCCATAAACTAACACAATCCAGCAAAATAATTTGTTTTCCAAGGGGATCTATCCCACTGTCTGCCTGCCTTCACAAAGCATCTGAGGACTACAAATGAAGATGAGACTGCCTCTCACAGCACGAGCTCTTCTTGGGATGTTTTCCTACAGAGGCTCTGGTTGCTGACTCTTCCCCAGTCCTGCCATCCTTTAAGAAGCTTTGGGGCCCTCAGACAGCAAATTGTATAGAAGTAAAATGATACCCTTCAGTGTTCCTGAACAATATGGGGCAAGTAACTAATAGGGGAAACCATGCAGAGAAAAAGTCACTTGCAGATCTGCATTAAAGCCTATCTGAAACTTCACCAAAAGGGGCTATAGTCCTTTCAATACCCAGTTGGCTTTTGACGTGGTCTTCAGTAACTTGGCAGTTGTATATCAGAGGTAAATCACCTGCAATCATTCTCCTCTTCCTATTCAAGGATGTCTGTGTTCAAAAGGGGATATTTTACAGTCATTTTTCCTTTGATGGTTACTTCTATGATTCAATAGCTAAGCTGTGCAGAAAAGCCACTCTGGGGAAGGGAAGCCTTATGAGCTCTTTCTTCCAATCTTTCTGCAGGCTAAAAGCACTATCAGGGCATAGGGAACAACAGGAAAGTACCATAAATACGAACCATAGTTTTTTTCTCTTTTAATAGGCCATCTATGCATCTCCATGTAGGGAATTTCACCTGGAAGAATCTCATTCTCCTCCCTTTCCTCCTTGTTCTTAGCTGAAAGTAACAAGCCATTTCCAGCAAATCTAGATAGGACCACCATGCTATGAGCAGATCACCCTGCCAAATCCAAGCAGTATTGCTGGGTGAAGACAAGTTGGCACCCCATGTTATTGCCCTACCAACCTGCTCAGTGGCAACCTCTTCCCAACGGGAATGGCAGCTGTAGGTCCAGTGCGGCAAATTTTACACCCCTTGGATCCATGTTTTCTAACCAGTGAGTGGTCCCATTCAGTACACTTCATATTCCATAACAAGATGATCTATTTTCTGATAGATAAATCAATACTTTCATATTGGAAAGATCTTAAATCCCCCGGGCAAAAGCATAAGGTCCTTTTCATAACAACAGATAAGCAATACACTCTGATAAGCACAGTACCAAGAACAGAACATAAAAGAGGTACAAAATGCATGAAGTTTAAAGTCTCAAATGATTTAGGTATTTCACAGCAACTCATGAGATTGTGGGGCAGCATTCATAGCTGCAGTGCTTTTTAAACCAGTTGCTCACATACCATTGCACTACCAAGATGAAGACTGTTAAACCAGAACTGTTTCCTACCTGCAAAACGTTTTATGTGGGCATCATCTACTTACAGGTGAGGTACTACATCAGCACTCCAACACAGACACACACACATACACCCGTCTTCCATAACAAAACAAAAACTCCTTCTGCCCGGCTTTTAAATTCCAAGTTTGCCCAAACCCCTCCACCCGCACCCCCACACTCCCAGCCCCCACAATCCTATTTTGAAGCAACACTATGGATGCCAAGGGTCCTGAACACTGAGACAAGGGCAAAAGCCTTAAAAAACATTAATTAAAGACTAAAATGAGAGCTTGAATTTGTGTTATGAGAGCTCTAGCTATTATTTCTTAATATTTTAGGTTGAAAAATTCCAGAGGCATATGACTCTCAGAGCAGGATGATAATTTCTCACCTTTATTAAGCTCTTTAGTTTATATAGTGCTGTTCTGTCAGTTTGTCACTGTAGACTGTGTAAGACCACCATAGCCCATGTAAAAGGTCAGACAGAGAAGAGGGAAATGTCTTGGGTAGAAGTGTGGCAGACTCTCTGAACAGCACTTACGAAGAGTTCTACAACACAATGCAACCAGAATAGAGTAAAATAATAGCCAACCTATACAGGCTGTCAGAATGAGATAAGACCATCCTTCCAGTACAGATGTTTTCCTCACAGCACTTCTTCATGTGCATACATGCACAAAAAGGACTGAGCAGGGAGTGAAAAAAAACATGAGGAGCTCCAAAGTCCAGGAAAGTTCAAAAAGGCTTAGTTTGCCTACAAAAACCCTCAGTTAATTCCAGAAGTTAAAGTGCAAGTGGACTTCTAATATTAATCACAAACACCACCAATTTACCATGCAAACATTTTAATGATGTAATCACTCTCTTCCAAGCATGAAGAGACAGAAGTACCACCCCATGGTGGTATCTCCTGTGACAGTGACAAAGGACCACCTTCTTATAACTTAAATAATAAATTCCTGTTTTGTATAACTGAGGCTGAATACCCACAGGATATTATTAACATTTCCCCTCCAGCATCTGGTCTAATAAAGAAACACAGAACAGCTTTGCTGTAGTACAAAAGTTTACAGAAAGTTCAACAATTTAATTAAAGACAATACAAAATATGTTGTCTGAATTCAAATAATTTATGTAAAAGTACATGCATGAGAAAATATTGGCAAGAAGGTTTGAGTAACCGTATTATCAGATGTTCTTTGTTCCTAGAGATAACATACAGTCAAAAATACATTTATATTTTAAGTTACAATAAAAGACAGCATTTTAAACACAATTTTGGGTCTACCAGCCCTTCAAAGCAAAAAAAATTCCTGTTAACAGAGAATGAACTGATAGAATAAAAAAAAATGGAGCAATGCTGAATTCTCTGAAAAAACCTGCAGCGTTTGTTTTTCCTTTGAGCAAGGAGGGAGGAGGCTCTAGAAAACAAAGGCCACTCAATCTTCTCATTTAAGTTTTTAAAAACTGTGATCAGGGATTACTTTTATCCATATACCTCAGAAAAACCCACCCTCCTTGTGGGGAGACAGGATTACAGATCAGGCACAGATCTTCCCTTCCACAGAAGCAGTACCATGTCTACACAAGTGTGGATCCCGCAGGCAAAAGCAAGCTACCCCATGGTACTCAGGGGGGCAGCCTGGCCCCCAAACACACCTTCTCTCAGCCTCCAGCAACACCACTAATCCTCCCAAATCGCAAGTTATTTCTTCACCTTTGTCAGAAACTGAAACACCTGAAGTCACCTTCTTGATTATGGTACCAGACAACAGCCTGAAACATCCAAGATTTCCTACCATGTGTCACTTGCACTCCACCACACATTTTTGTGGTCAGTTAAATAGTTTAACAAGACGACACATGATTAACTTCTTTCAAGATATTTTAGTTCATTGATTCTCAATAAAAGCATTGGTTGCAGTACAATAGTTTCACATACAGCAACAAAAGGTACTCAATTTACATGCACAAGCTATTTAACAGTAATACAGTCTGTTGCCATTATGAAGCAAACACTGCTGTGACAGCTGGCACAGCCTTCCAGTTGTTCTCATGAGCGCTAAAAAAGTGATGAAAACAGCGTTCCAATGGTACAACACCAAAGAGCAGAGGTTTGGCCACTGCTGAAAGATTCCAATCAAGATGCCGGTATCATAACAGGAAACAGTTATGCTGGAATTACTGTAAAAACTATGCAAAATTTCTTTGATTTGTACATCAATTTAAGAAAAATGCATGTGGGAAATACATAGAGCTTTGTATAGAAACTAAAGTATATGCAGAGGCAGAAAAATTAAGGGTTTAAGGCAAGACAAATGTGTGGATGAGTTAAAAAAAAACCCTCATCATTTAACTACTATAAACCTGTTGGGGTAAGAGTGCATAATTGCTTATCTGGATTGGTTTTTGTGGTTAGAGGGGTTTTTTTGTAGCTAGAGGGCTTTTTGTGGTTATTTGTTTGCTGTTTTATTTTATTTTAATAAAGCTTCCAACTTTGAAAGGGCAAGCCACTCTGCTTTTGTGTTTGATGCCTGGCTGAGTTTTCGTTCAGCTTTAAAGTTTGGTCCAGATTATCATGGTGTAATGGACAAAGTACAGCACATGATACTTGAACAACTCACTCCCACTTTTCAAAGTCTGCTTTTCAAGAAACAGAGACGATAGTGTCACCTTCATTGTAAGTCAAAGTTTCAGTACTGCTGTTAAGGGCTTCTAGAAATAAGAACAGAGAAGTCAGATTTATGATAATGAGATAAGCAGTGAGCTTCTGTAAAACATACATTCTACAATAAGACTTTCCTATAGCATATAAAAGTCATCAGGGGACTTAATTTTTTGTTAAATATTTCTTTACACATTTCAGAAGTGTTAACAATTCCAGTAGTAAAATTTTCAAAGTGTCCTGGCTGTGCCTCTTTTTAGTGTCTTTTCCAAATGGTATTTGAATAGATAAGAAACCTTCTCCTCTAAGGGAAAATTATCAATTCAGCATTATGCTATCGGCAAATCAGATCCTGAAATATTATGAGTATTGGATAGGTGTCATCATTTTATTCATGTCCATATAAAAAACCACAGTTACATGAGACTGCACTGTCAGATCTATAATACACCATGCAAGACTGCAAAAATAAAAGGCAAAAAAGTAAAAAGGCCTCAAGTCTCCTTTTTTTGTTGTTTGGTTTCTTTTTACTAATTGTCTCACACCAAAAAATAAAAAGTAGCAAAGGCTTAATCTTAAATACAAAGTTAACATCAGCAAATCAGGTCCTCTAATCCAGACTGATGGTACATTTATCATTTCAACTGAACCACCCATTATAAACTTGCAATGCCAGCACTCGTTCATGCCCTGAACTGTCCCCTGGCCTCATCTACCCATTCAACTATTCATACCTTATTTTAAGCAGAACAATTAAAAAAGTTGTTTGTGGTTTTGAAACAGTTGGTCTGAATTCCTTAATACCACACTCAAAACACAAGAATACAAATTTAAGGACATCTCAACTCAATTCTCAAAATATTGCTTACAAAGGAAAAAAAGAGGCATGAAGATGGAAGTACAGAAGGTGTTAAAACACCACTTTCAAAATGGACTTGGTAGAGACCCTATACTGGAAACACTTACCTTGTCAAAGCATCAACATGATCATCTCAGAAGACAATTCAGAGACACTTAGTCAGAATTGGGGAAAAAAAATGCAAACTATACTGTCAAAGATCACTGAAATAACTAATCTAAAGGCAGTGCAAAATGATGGCTAGTGAGGGGCAACCAGTCATCTTGCAAAATAAGGGACTTCAAATTACTCATCAATGACCTCCATAATAATCTGCATTGAAGGACCTGATGAACACCAGTGATATTTCTGTCATGCAATTACAACTGTTAAGCAACCAATATGCAACTCAAGAGTGGTACTGTCATCCATGGTGGATTATTACTGAAGTAATAATCCATTAAAGAATAAGATCTAAGGGGAAAGTGGTAAACATCTTGCCATAAGTGAAAACACTGCAAAAATTTACAATTAAATAAAAAGTTAGATGATATAAAAAGAAGTACTGAACACAACAAAGCCACAATAAATTAGTGTTTCCATAAAACGACATGCTGAAGGTTTTGTTCCCAAGTCTATACATTTTTTACTGTCTGTTAATTCCTAAATATTGACAGCATAATTGAATAATTGAGGTACAGTAGTTTACATTTGTATATGTCTTGTAAAAAGGTCATTATTTTTCTTCCAGTTTTTCTTCCTCCTCGCCAAAGAACAACAAAGGAAACATTCCTAATATGCAGCCAATGGTCACTCCAATAGCTTTACCCTAGAGAAAGGGGGAAAAAATGAAGTTTCTCACTGATCAGTTGCTACTCATTTGCTGTGTACCAACACAACCAGAAAAACACACCCCTTGTTCTAGTTTTCAGTTGTGAGTCACATTTTTCTTAGCATGCAGACTGGAAACACAATCCATGACAGAGAGACAGATATGACAATGTTAGAAACAGTGTTTGCTGTGATAAAAGACAATTCTGAAGAAAGGAGGGGAACGCTCATGAAGAGCTGCACAAGTCATAATGGAGGAGACAGAGATTCAAAGGATTAGGAGGATGGTCAGGCAGACAGGGAAAGAAAAAAACCAAACCAAACCAAACCAAACCAACAACACCTGCACACACTATAGGTGCAATTGTAAATGTATCTGCTTGTATCTGGAAATGCAAATTATCGAAGTCAGGAACAAGGAGTACCTTGCCAACATCATGGCTTGCAAAGGCACAAAGCAAATACAAAACCAATAAAAAATGGAAAACATTTCACAGTTGACCTGGATGTATAAGTCAAGAGGAGAGGAAATAAAGTAAGACAAGCAACATCCAAAGCACATCACGAGCAGCAGGTGGATAGTGTTTAGAAAATTGAGACAGCAGGTAAAAAAATGAAAAAAAAAAAAAAAATGCTACCATACAGGCAAAGGTACTCAGAACAGTTTTCCAGAGAAGTGCTGTGAACAAACTGCAGTGCAATGACGGGGTTTGCCACAAACTCAGCTTCCACTGAGAAAACTGTTACACTGGGGACACTACCAGGCAGCCCCTTGACAATATTCCAACCCTTTGCTGCTCAGTGCTTTGATCTATCACTGCTAAAACCTGACTTTATTGCCCCCCTAACTTTTCCTCAGCAAATGCTATTTTTCTTCCCTTAAATCTGCATGACTATTTTCTCAGTAAAGGCTCATTTTGGCAAAGCAAAAGAAATATCTGTTATTTTTACTCAGTTTCTGATAATCTGTTTCTATAATCAAAATAAATTAATGTTGCTGAAACATTTGACCACTTCAAATGTTTAAACGTTAATTAAGTATCCACCCTGAAAATTAATCTGCACGATGATTGTCCTGCAACTGTAAACACAGGCAGTAAATATTACTGAAATGCTAAAAGCTTACCCAGGGGAAGGCTAATTTCATATCCAAGCTAATTATAGAATACTAGAAATTCATACATACCAGTACAGGTATACGAATAGCAAGCACTTTACAAAAAATGCGTAGGAGTAAACTACTAAGGGGTCATAACTCTCAAGTAAATTATCACCATGGCCAGAGCTGAACCCAGGTATCTGCACAGCATACATGAAGTCATTGCAGAGATTATCCAAGTCACAAGCCACTTGTGGCTCACTGCATACAAAAAAACATGCAAGCCCAAAACAATTCAGTCTCGTGATGCTCCCTGATATGGGCTCACAACTCAACCTTACAGGAAATGTAAGTACAATGCTGGCAGTCAATAAGTATTTAATGGAAAAAGTGACAAAACCAATTTATCACTTACTAGTTTAAGCAGAAAAAGCTCCAAGCCAGCAGTGCCCACCTACAGGATACTCACCAAATGTGCACTGAGACGCGTTTGCCACATGTCAGCTTGTTTGGGTGTCAGGTCAGGGATCGACAGACCCAGTCGTGAGGCTAAAGCTTCTACGTAACCTGCAAGACTGCAACAGTAAGAAAATGAGAAAAAACAATTTTGGATCTGATAATGTCTCCTAGTGAGGATTTTCAAATATTTGAATTTAAAGTCTACAGGTTTTCCTTAATCATACTGATGAAGACATTGACAGATTATTATGGGAAAGAGTTCAGACTGCTAAAGGCCACATTTTGCAACATACATTAATTATCTCACTGATTTAATAGGAAACATTTCCCTAAAAACTTTATGTACAACAAAACTAGTGTGAATGCTACTGCATTTTTGTAGAGTTTGTAAGTAATCTTTATTGGAGGAAAGGTCACGCACAGACTAGTTAGTAATAAGCCTTGTTATCTGCAGAAAACAAAGCATTAGAGGGAAAGTGTGAAAAACAGGCATAACAAACAGTTTTACTTTCAGCAATTACACAGAAATTTCCTTTAAAAACTAAAAAAAAGTCACTGTATCTGTTTATATCAGAAATAGGTATGTCTAGATCTGAAGATATTTCAGATATATAACTTTTTTATCTGAGGAGAAGGAAATGTCTTCATATCTGGCCATAACAGTCTGAGGACGTATATTAAGTACAGCAATATAATATCACTAAAAAATGTATTTTTCCACATTGCATCTCAGTGAATGCACTTAATACTCTTAATACAAGTGCATACATACCCCAGTCCAGCTAAATCTGAAACAAGGTTTCCTAAAGCTGCAGCTGGAGGGAAGAAGAAGGAGAGAAAAAGGCAAAGGATTATTTTAGTTGTGAACAAAACCAAGCAGCTCCTCTCCCTCCCCTCCTAGTGACCCTCACTATTCTCAGTATATATAGGATGAGAGATCACAACTAGGGTCCTTTTATTTTAGAGTTTTTATTCTCACCATATTAGAGTTTAATAACAGCAGGAGACTAAAATAATAGGAAGTGCATCTGTTTTTCTCAACTTATAAGAAGAAAACTTGACAAATATAAAAAGGCAACACTAACATCTGGAAATCAACATCATAACTTTTCAGATCAGAGTTAAGAATGGCCATGTGTGGTTGCCAGCTCCATGCAGCTACTGCTGGACACCAAGCAAAGCCTCCCAGTGCCTGAAGAGGCACAGGAGCACTGGAAGTAGAAGGAGCTGTTATTCAGCTATGTAGCTTTGATAAACATTTCAACATACCCACAAACTGTGTCAGTTTAGGAATGAATACTGTCCACGAGTGAACAAAGTTACACACAAACTCCATGATTTCACAGCAGATCTTACTGAGATAAGCTTGACTGTGACTGTCTCACATTGCAACAGAGCACTGCCCATTTCCAAACCATTAACTTGCTCTGCTATAGACACTTCCATTTGAGCTCTCTACGTGCTTTCAAGCAATGCTGCCCCTGCAGTTAGTGGACCCACGAGCAGGTTTTTACCCTCAGACGTTGCAGAGACACCAAAGCTGTCAAGCAGAGCTTATCAGTTTTGGGCCAGTGCAGGGGCAGGGTGGCTCCCTGGCCTTCCCGTATCGCACGGAGGCAGAGGAGCCACCAAGAACTGCAGCCAACACAGCAAGAGGACACCAACACTGATCTCCACCGCAGGCAAACAGCAGTGTACATATACAGACATACATCAATACTGGACCCTGGGGAATTCAGAGCAGTTCCACTACAGAAATGCAAATATGCTTTCCCAAGTGACACAGGATTTGAACTATTAGGTAAGAACTGACGAGACGCATTTCAAAAGTTATTTGAACTGAAATTCCATTTCTGCAAATGGAGTATGTCCTTGTTTCACCCACAGGTTGCTTCTTTATTAGGAAAGGCAGCTGCAACACTGAGGAAGAGCCATTTCCAGCCCTGTGTGCCACTTTCAGCCTAAAATACAGGAATGTGCCATATTAGTCTAAACATGCTGCATTTTTAATACTTGCCTGCCATAGTTGAAATTCCTAAGACAACTCCAATTGACAATTCTATTTGGGTTCCCTGAAAAATAAACAGTTTTGTCATTATTTGAGGGATTTGGGGTTAAATTATATTGATACAACTGACAGAAGTACTGCTTACTGCTTGTCTATGTTAAAACTGAAGGGATAAATGGACATTACTCCTAACAAATCCTATCCTCCTGATATATATATATATATATTTCCCCCGGGAAAATGAGCCTACTTCTGATACTCTTTTAATATTTTATACTATTTCATAAGAGGCACTTAATGGACAAACCTTCAACCCCTATCTCTGCATACCATCTTCTTCACTGTAATTCTTAGCTGAATGTATAGCTCTGAATGAAAACTTCTACAAATACTGAGCAAACAAATAAAACACAGTACCACAGCTCCTTACGTGTTCAGTTGAAGAAACAAAATCACAGTGAACTGCACTATGAAACAGCAGTACACGATCCAAAGATGAGAGACAACGTGCATGAATTAAACAAGACATGCTCCAGTTGGATATAGCAAAACATTTTCCACTGTGAGGAAGCTGAGCATTGGAACAGGTTGCTCAGACAGGCTGTCCTTGGATTTTGCAAGTCCCACAAAAACACGAACAACTTGGTCTGACCTTCCAGCTGATTCTGCTTCGAGCAGGAGGTTAGACTAGAGAACCTGAGAAAGTCCTGAGCAGGAGGACTTCCTAAACTAGACCTCATAGTCTAATCTATTCTGTTCTTTTGAACAATATGAATCTCATTGACTTGATCAAGGAATTAAATAATGAACTTACCGCAGCAATCATAATTGCGTTATCCAAAAATCCAAACCCTACAAAAGGTAATGCATTGTGGAAGAACACTAAAAGAAATAAGTAACAAAGAGAAAATAAAATATTTATAAGAGAGTTCACTAATTCACATGAACAACTGAAACGTCAGTCTCACACTGCCTTTAAGAGAAAAAAAGACAACATACACAAAATTCCTTTCCTACTCATTCTGCTAAGGACCTTTTTGTTGCTGGCAGGTGCAGTAAAACCCTTTGCTACTCAGAAGTGTTACTAAGGGCTTGTGAAGAACAAGCTAAAAAAACTTCTGCAACACTTGTACAATTTCAGATGGAAGCCACTTATGCCTACTCGTGCGTAAGAGAAATATTTAAAGCTACACAAACTTGGGTAAGATTTACAGACCTTCCAACGGGTGTTGCAGTATCACTAAAGATTGCCAGCCGTCTCACCAGACACCCTGCATTCTTCTCTTGCATGAAATAAAGGCCCCCTCTCTGCAAGACCCTTGCTACTCCTGCGCAAGAGATCCAACTTCACGTATTCCTAAAAATTCGTATTTTAGGAGTATTGTCTGGAGCTAGACAATTCTTTTAAAACTCCTTCAGCTAAATCTGCAAATGCTAAGGTGGCTTTCACTAGAGTGTCATCCAGTGTTATTTATCTCACTATTTCAACCCAAACTTGTGTATCTCAATTTTGTTTGTACACTATCCTCAGAGCAAGTCAGACTTGAAGCTGCTCCTTAATACACTTTTTAGGAAATCAACTTCCACCTTTAGTTTCGTGCATTTTTTTTCTTTTCACTTCTGAAGCCCCTGTTAAATACTTTTGAAAATATTTTCTAGTGCAGAAACTTGGAACACACTGGTCTGAATAATTTCTAAGAATGAGCACAGTGCTGCTGTATCATTCCTATTTGTCCTGTTTCATTTTCTCCCTGGTTTTAGCTTCTGAGCTTCTGATGGAGGTGGGACTGAATTTGCACAGTGTTGCCTCCAGCTAAGTTTCAACTGCTCACTTCATAAGACTAACTACAGCACTGAGGACAGACTATGTGACCAAAAATACAGCTTGGGAAGTTGGAAATTTTCTTTTTTTTTTTTTTTATCATTTAAAATGCATCAGCTGTTCAGATTGGATTTGGTTGGTGGGGTTTTATTTTTTACTTCAGATGGTACCATAATTCCCACATTTTATAAACTTGTAGAGATGTAAACATAGGAGAAGCTCAGTCACATGAAAAGAAACAGGCAAGAGAAGCTTTCAGGTTTCTTTCTCACAGACAGCACAAATTCGTGACCTCACAAAAAAACAAAGCCACACTCAAGATCTTTCACGTTTAGGTACAAGAACATGAATGAACACCTGTAACTACTTTCTAAGGAGACACACACCTTCTTAACTGCACAGGTAAAGGACTAAAGCACAAAACGTGTGAAACTTTACAATTTTTTGTTCTGAATCACCACAATACAAAACCCCCAAAAACATAAACAATAAAAAAGCACACAGATATGCCCGATATTTTCAAAATGTGTGTATACAAAACTCTGCAGCTACAAAGGGAGCTCAAATTCTTAGTGAAATGAGCAGAATTTTGGAATTCATGGAGTAAACAGAACACCAGGGACCAAAAGGGAAAAAAAAAAAAGAAAAATAAGTGTAGATACTTATAATATGAAAATGTTTGACTAAGATTTAGTCACTGGAGAATATAAAGCTGCAAAAATACACTGATTTGGAAACTAAATCAGAATTTGAATCACCACAGTATTATAAAGAATACACAGTGTATTTCTAATTTCTCTGCAATTTTATACCACTTCTCAGTCCTCTTAAAACAAAAACCCCACAAGGTACCGCAGCATCAACACTGTTTGGCTTAGAAAAACAATGTTTGCTGCTGGCTTTGAGCAGCCTGCTCTCATTTGTGCTTTCTGTCCTACTTTCACTAAATGGTGCACATTCTCCAGCCGAGGTATTATGAAACAAAGGCAGCAGGGTGAGTGTTGGTGCTTGTTTTGGTTTTCTGTTACTCCATTCGACAGGGATGAGGACAGACCAGCACTTGTAGGAGAAAGATGAAGCCAGTTCAAAGAGAGATTGCACAATTACTGAACTACATTCAACAAACATTCTTCTTTTACCATGTCTCAGTTGTCCTGGAGATGGTGGTGCAACCTCCAACTTCTCTAGAGAAGTCAAAATAAATGAGAAAGTTAGCTTTTCATCACAGCTTCAGTTTATTATAAAGTTTTTACCAAATTACTAGCCAGCAAAAAATCAGTTATGTTATTTAACAGTTTTCAAATGTGAAGAAAAATGCTTCACACCTACATTTTTATTATTTTTATGAAAGATAACATGTTATTAAAAGCCACAAAGTCTCACTATAATATTTGTAGCTTAAACCAGTATAAGTGATTATGCAAAGTAACAGCATACTTCAGAAGCAGCCCAACAGCCATCTTTATCACTGAAAATTAGAAAAACACACTAAAATTAGAAAAATCAAGACATCTAAAGACAACTGTATTTTAATTTTTTAGAGGTCCTCTAAACATGCAGCAGACAAAATTCTTTCCCCCAGACAGAGTCTGTAAAAAATCTTTTAATAGTTAGTATAAGAATAAAAGAAAAATAGAGATCACTGATTTTGGTAACTACAGATCAAGTTTGGTTACTTGGTGCATGTTTCAGGTATCCTGGACTCAAATCATGAAGAGCTTGCAGGGACCAGCACATGACTCCTGAACCTGACAGAGTACTCTACAGGACACCAATGCATTTTATTAGGGATGCTGTGCAGAATGCAGCAACAAGATACTCATTCAACAGGGCCAAGGGAAAGAAACTTAGCTACTGTTTTAGGCTTCTGTTGTTTTTTTGTGGTTCGTTTGTGTTGTTTTTTTTTAAAATGTAGGTATTGAGCACAAGAACACCCTTTTTAAAACAGAAAAAACCATTGCCCCACTATCTTCCAGTATTATGAGCTTTTGATAAGTTGCTTCCACACTTCTGATGAGGTAACTTCTATGAGCAAAGGTAAAAAATAGAAAAACGTGTAGAACCTACAACAGTCAAGTATTCAAATATTACTTGGGGCAACCAAGAGATGGAAAGACAGTACTGCAGACACAGACTGTAATACATTTGAGCATCACTCTGAGCAGTGCTCAAAGCTACTGTAAAGAAACTAAAATATTCACTTAAAGTAACTTTGAGGAAAAAAACAAGTTAGATCATAATACCAGTATTCAGCCAACCAAGCCACTGCCTTCCAAAATAATTTCATTAATTGAAGGTCTTTAACAACTCTCAAGCTATAGCAGTTTCTAATAGAGCTGCTTCTTCCCTCTGCCCAATACACAAGCCAACAAACACCAGTTGTACTCATCATGCAAGTAGGACAAGTGCAGCCCAAATACTACAGAAATAGAGATTATTTTGTTTTCCCCTCAAAATGTCAAGGAATTCAGAGATTTACAGCTCAGGTTGGAGGAGGAACAAAAGAACATGCCATGGCAAACAGATGGGAGCCCATTGAGAGTCAATCTTCTGAAGCCTCGGGCATCACTTGTGCACGACAGCCAGAAAACATCAAACTAAAATTTTCAGCTTGTGCTCAGGAAGGATGGGATCAGGGATGGGATCCATTTTCATATGGTCTCCTTCCATCCTACAGGTTTAGCAAATCTTTTACAGAAGCATGGATAAAGAGTGAGCTTTCTATATATACCCTTTCAGCAGCTTTTCTCAGAGACAGCAAGTTCGTACAACACTGGGGAAAATGAATCAACCTTGAATCAACGAGATTAGCTGAGGTCACTGTTTCCAAGAGCTCCAGATGCCCTGGGAGTGGCCAGGCAGCCTAAGCCAACACCATCACACTCCTGAGGAAGCTTCCCTAAACTCAGCTTGCCCCATCCTGCTGAATGCCAGAGCGGGAACAAAATCCCCAAACCAGGAACACAAGCGTAGAAGGTCAGAGAGTGCTGCCCTGCTTGGCTTTCTGCTCTGACAGGAAGCTATCACACCAACCAGTGTGGTTCCTGGGCTTCCTGTGACACTGCCACTGAAACAATCCCTGCTGCAGCACCATCTAGTCTTCAGATCTACTTCTCCGTATATGAGGATTTCATGATAAAAAGCTGTAACAGCATGGACAAACTCCAGGAAACACTCTACCTCTGAGGAAGACATCTTTTCATACTTTGCCCTAATTATGATAGTCAGGTTAGATAATTTCCATGTATTTTGGGAACCACCACAGTACAAAAGACTATTCAGTTTGCCACAAAATACCACAAAGCTTTAGAACATCAGTCTTGTGGATTTAACTACAACTGATTTTTGAGTTTGATAGCACACATCAGTCTACATAATTACACTCTATTCAGTGTAGCGAGACAGCTATTAAAATAAAACTTAAAAAAAAAGCCCAGTACATACCTGATTTTGGAAACTTATTATCAAAAGGAGGAATTGAGGGCAAGTGTTTGGTAGAAGAAAAAAGAAATAAAAATCTCTTACATCTACGAATAATGGGAGTTCCAAGTCACATTAATTAAAAAGAACAAACTTCTTCAGCACGTAAGTCAAGGACTGCCCTGGGGGAAAAAGAAGAGAGGCTGGGGGACACTACTTTGGGCTTAGAGGAAAGACAAGTTTTCGCAAGGTAGAGGGAAACAGCAGGGCATCAAGTATAAGCAAAAATGACTTAACTATTGACATATTCTGTTTAAGTAGTGTGAGATTCCTGCTAAACAGACATTTTATGAAGCAGGGCACCTAAGGTGCTTCAACACTACTAGGGCAAATAAAAGAGAAGTCACTAAGGACAGCATGCTATGGAGACCAGACTGCTCCTGTCCAGCCACAGGAAACTCTTCTAACAGCATCTTCCTGCTGCACATGCAAGAACTTTATTTTATAAAACGGAGTCTTGTAAACTCATCTGGAAGAGTGCCTGACTTACAGCTTTCCTCATCATTAAGATAAAAATTAATCTGTGAAAAAAAATCTATAATTACACATTTAATGAGACAGGGAAAGGAGAAGTCTGACAGATGAAGTTCAGATAACTGGTGCAGGTCAACCCTTGCACACTCTGGACAGGGAAACGCCCTCTCTGCCTGAGAGAGCATCTCATCCCACCCCAGCACAAAGCAGGGCCAAATCAGACCAGGTTGCTCAGAACCTTGTCATACAGTACCTGCAGGACCAGGCTCATGGAAAAATTTGTTCCCTATGGAGCACCAAAACAAGCCTTTAGAGCTCCAGACAACTTCACCAACATCTGAACTACCCTCTGCCACTGCCAGGTACAGAGCACTGCCCACCACAGGGAAGGGGCTGGTCCAGCTCAGCTCTACTTGCAGAGGCCAAGGATTAGTTTAAAGCTGGGACATTGAGAGGGGGAAAAAAAATTAAAGTAGAAAAAATTAAATAACCACTGTGGCATGAAAGCCAATAACCTCTTTACAGAATCACTTCCAACACCATCTCTTTAGATCATAACATACTTAAAAACTCTGCAAGATATGAAAGCACTGAAAGCCAAAAAAAATCTTTAAAGCAATTTTTTAAAACTCTAGGTAGCAAAATATATTTCAGAATAGGGTATTTATTCATAGGAAGTTGTTCTGACTACTTGAATTCAAGACTCAGCAGAAAAGAAGAGTAAAAATATCCAGAGAGTACAGCAAAGGAAACATGTCTTTCTCTTGTTTTACTAGAGGGAAAACAAAAATCCAAATTACAAAACCCCTTTTCAAGAGCTCAATTCAGTCAGAATCCAACAATTCAAAGTTTAAATGTCTAGGGGAAAAAGAAAACAACCCTGAATTACGTCAGTATTGCATTTCAGATGGCCATTCACCAGTTCATCCTGTGCCACACTATTCAGTAAGATACTAGAATTCATCTTATTGCAGAAGGAACAGAATGAAATGGTGCAGTCAGGAATACTGCTATTTTCTAACTGATATTCATTACCACAAATGAGGTTATAAAACAAGGTTCAAGTGCAATACATGCCATGAGTCCTGAACTAGCAAAATCTGGGGAGCAGAAAAAAATTTACGGCTTCTTAAATATGCTCTTAATTTTTTTTTAAATTTATAGTATCACTTTTTTCCTAACTAAATATTTACTCTTTTTGAAAAAATAGTTTGACTCTGAGGAGAGGTTAGGGAAGGGAATATAAAACCATCAACATAAATAATACCATTACCCACAACTTGGCCCAAATCCAGTAAGTCAAATTCACTCTGCCAGTTGTAGCCAAGTACTTGCAATTTAGTTTTAAGATTATTACTCTTTGCTGACAAAAAAGGTCAACTGACTAACAGGTAGGGGGCATGCATTTATTCAGATAGTTGGTAAAAAAAAAAACAAAAACAAAACAAAACAGCCAAAAGCCAGGAAGTTGTCATCACCAGTTTTTATCAATTTTTTAAGAGCTGGCATAGAAGAGAATTTTCAAGCCTAAAGGCATGTATTATGTTTTATTCAAATTGCAGCTAACACTGCCATAAAATTTTACAGCTAAATGTGTTACTGTCACCCAGGGGCAGGGAACACTAACACTGATAGCAGGTACTATGGCCAGAGCTACCCTAGGAAGATAAATGCTACTGCTGAGTATTGTTAAATCTGAGACAAATATATGAGCATTTTTTATAGATTTTTAAATAATGACTGAATGGTTAAGATTAATGATTTAACAATGAATATCAAAAAGGAAGAGGAATATGAAAAATATTAACAATCTAGATCCTTTGTAACCTCCATTTAGGCTCTGAAGGTGTCTAATCTGGAAGTTACAGAGTGTTTCATTTCAAATTCATCCATCTGTTTCCTCCAAAACTCCTGTCTGGGTCATTTCAGGAAACCACTCAGATATACATCACTGAAACAGTAAAAGCATCACTTGCATAGGACAAAAAATCAGAGAAATTGTTGTGTCTATTAAAAAGAGGTACTCCTTTATGTGTGAGTTCATAAAAAGATTTTTATCCCCAGCATTCTGGATTGGAGCTTAGAAATGAGTGTTGTTGCTTGTTCAGAGGAGGATCCTCAAAAATAAATTCTGACCCTGATGTATGAGTTCACTCATGGAATAAGCTCATAAAGCACATCCCCACTGTCCTTTGTTCCTCAGTGTTTTCACCAAAGCCGCGAAATGCTC